GGTAAGGAGACGAGACTGAGACACCAACATGTTTCAGGTTCGATCCACCTGCTGCGCGAAACTAAGTCACAATTATCCTGGTCACCTAACACGGATATGGGCTTATGCTTTAGGACCCATTTGAATAACCAGAGAGAGAGTCTATCCGTGGGCTGCACCTCCCCTTGAGGATTAGTCTGGACATCTCCATGGACCTAAGATATCCCCAGGTTAATAAAAAAAAATATATAATAATAATAATAATATCATCCGGATGTTAAAATGTGCCATTTCACTTTGATATGAAAAAATTGTATTTTTGAAATAATAAATAACTTTTGAGAGTCTTGCTTGCGCGGAATGAACATAAATTATGTATACAAATTATTTATACATATTATTATTTATTTTATATTCATTTATGTATTATGCAGTAAAAATATATTGAATACTTAAGAAGCGGGTAACTATTACGTATATAGTTAAACTGGAGTAAACATATAAATAAAAAACATCCCTCTTTGTATTTACAATATTGTTTTGTTAGTAAAAAATCATAATACTTAATTATTTTATATGGTGTATAATTAAACTTAAAAGATATTAAAAAATTTATCTTATATATTTTAATATGAATATTTATTAAATGAAGTTCGTACTCATATGATTTAATTAACATTTTTATATTTACTGTAACAAATATTATTTTTATTTATATGAATATTTATTAACCAATGCTTCCTAATCAAAGCAAATTTTGAAATTAGCATGTTTATACTTTATATATATATATATATATTTACTTAGAATATATATTGAAGAGATTTCATATTTATAGGATTTTATGATCATTTGTATTTCACTATGACAAAAAGTTAAACATTGATCACAAAATTTTCAATGTTGACTTTTAAAATTTTTAGTAATTTATAAGATTTAAAACAAAAATCAAAATATAGCATATAATTAAAAAATATAAAATTTAATTATATTATATAATATGATTGCTTGATTTATTTTAAGAATATAAATTAAAAATAATGATGAAAGTTTGAAAATTGTTATCAAATATTTATTATTCAAAATTATTAATTATCATATATTTGTTAACCATGTTAGGCAATTTTGTAGCTTTTATTTAAGTAAATAATGGAGAATATTCTTTTATACACTACTAATTATTTGAATAGTTAGTTTAATAAAAAATATACTATATATTGAGATGAACCAATTTATTTGTCTAAAGATTCTAAGAATCAACATAGTAATGACACGTAGCTACTAAAATGTTGTAATGCTCGAGGATTAAAATATAAGAGATTAGGAATCATTATATATCACCACATAATAATCAGGAATCAGTATTACCATATTTTTGGGCCAGGACAAGAATTTTTATCATTGCAATTAGTGATAAGTAAAAATATCATTTTCGAATGCATTTTTACTATTATATTAAACCAAATCAAACCACATACTGAAGGTTAAGAGTATCTCCAACAAAGAAGTTTTTACTCCGGAATTCTAATATTTAATTATAAGTTTTTAAATTTTATGACAAATCCCTTCCAAAATATCTCAAACCAAATAATATTAATATATACACATCTATATATATATATATATATATATATATATGTTTTTTTTTTAGAATCTCGGAACTAGATTTCTCTCATTGGAGGTATTTTAAGAACTATTTCAAAATGCTAAATGAAAGCGTGAGATATTTTTGTTTATAAATTTGTCAAAAATAAATTACTATATCATGTTGTGATATGTGAAGAAGCATAATTAGTGATGGATAAATAATCCAAAATCCGAAAGCTGATTTGCAACTGGATCAAAAATTTTAAAAAGTCAAATGGTTACTATTTTTCTAAACCTAAAAAACATAACTGAACCATAACCGACCTGAGAACCAAACTGACCAAATTCCGTGTTCTGATATGTAAATGTTGTAGTTCTATACAATAAAACCAATATGACATACAGTATAGGAGATATATAATTATCCTTATATATAACTGGTGAGTTGTTTCAAATATAGCATTGAATAATTTTCTAGTTATTTTGATTATAGTTGATGAAAAATAATTATGTTCGGTGGAAATATATATACAGTAGAAACTCAATAACTTAATATTCTATAAACTAATAAACATTATAAATTAATAAATTTCCTCGGTCCCGAGTTGGACCAACGTAAAGTATGACACCATTTGATAAAATAATACGATAATAAATTTTTGCAAAACCTTATGTAAATATATGGTCCCAATTTAAACATAAATCAATAATTATTGTTTATAAAATTTATATAAATATAATCAATATATTGCATAATTGGTCTTTTTTATTTATAGTGAATTTTATCTTTATTTTTTCTTAATATTTATAATACATTTATGTTATTTTTATTTTACATTTAAAATGCATTTATATTTACAATATTCACCAAATAATTGAATATTAACAACATAACTTTTACATCATTAAAAATTAATCAATACATATACTGTAAAGTCAAGTATTCTTCATATTTATAAATACTTCAAAAAAATATAAATCTAAAAATGAAATTTCTGTATATTAATAACTCAATATAACAATATATCAAAGTTTCAACATTATTAAATTATAGAGGTTTTATTATAGTTGATAGGAATATTTTTAATTTTTCATAGTACAACATATTTCACATTTTTTTCCTTTTGGAATTATCTTTTAGTTACAAACTACAAAGGAAACATATGGTAGGCAACATTAAAAATAAATAAATGTACAATAAATAGCTTGGCATAGTTACTTAACATTTATAATATCTTGCCATAGTTAACACTAGATTTTATTGTGTGTAATATCATTAATAATCATTATTTAAGTTTTCTGGTTTTATTGATATTGTTAGCCAAATAGGTAAATATAATATACTAGGTCCGGCCCGCCCTACGGGCGGGTTCTACTTCACATTTGATTTCGGTTATTACGTTTCGTATTGTTTGTACAAATTAGATATTTGTTATCATTTCTTTATTCCTTTGTGAGAGACAATATGAATAGTTTTATAAAAATAAGATATTATTATTTTTAAAATATTGAGAAAGTATTAAATGGGATATGTATTATTTTTAATATTTAAAATTTTAAAGGGAACAATTAAGTCAGAGAATTTTTTCTTGTGCATTGTTTAAAACAACATGTTTTTATTTGTAACGAATACACTGGAAATATGAAATTATTTGTTTATAATGGTATAAACGTGACAAATTAATTATTATAGTATTGAAACATGTTGTTTACGATATTGTGGCCCTGCATGTTGGACATCTGATGTTCATTCGGATCCAGTCAACAATGCATTGGTGATGATATATATGGTAGTATTGCAGTTCATTTATAGAATCATCACTTACAATTTTCTCCATGCATATTTTGCAGATTTCATTTTCTTCCATGAGTGAGGGTGTTCTCTTATCAGAATGAAGGTTTGTTGTAGCAATGTCGACGTCAATTATGTGGATTGTAATCCGTCAGATATAATATGATGTGTACACTCCTCTCTTCATAATTGGTGAGATGTTCAAGCTCCGTATGAGAAAATGTAGATGCTGATTCTGCGATCCTTTCAGCAGAGTGTATGCTCATGTCATGGTATATGAGCATAGATTCCATTACCCCAATGGTTAAATCTGTAAGATAATGAGAATCATTGGTTGAGAATTTGAGGTTGATTGATATGTTGGTTTGATTTGTATTAATACGGGTATGTTGATGGTGAGATTTCTTTTTGTTCTAATGCTTGGTATGCTTCAAAGCCGAATGTAAGAGCATATTCTTGATTTGGTTCCATGTATATTGGATAAAGGTGAAGTGTTTGATGCTCCATAATGACGTATTTATGCATTTAGACTATTAGAGTTACAATTGTTGGGTAGTGTTTTATTATTTTGAAACATATAACTATAATAAAGGAGGGGGGTGTTTAATATGAAGCGTTAATAGTACTTAGTTATAAATGCCATGCTTAAAACCAACGCTCTGATTAGTAATGTTATTCCTTTTTAGTGTTAAAGTCATATGCATATTGTGGGTTGTATATAATTTAACAGTCGTTGATTATTTTAATTATCTTCGTATTTATATATATGTTAATGTATTATATAGAGAATACTTAATTCTGATTTCATCTGTATTTAAATATATTTTGAATATACAATGAACCGGTTATACAAATATATAATGGTAGATAACTGAAAATTATATTTATGATTGCCATCTACATAAATAAAAAGGTTATTTAAACATTAGATACAATCAAAATAGTCTTTTATCATTCAAGTTTTCATGAAAAAAATATATTTTAATTTACAACTGATTTTTATTTTTACAAATTAACTTTAGAATAATTTAGTCATCATCTGCAATCATAAAAGAAAGTACAAACCAATATATAAATTTTTTTTTGTTCGTTTAGAGATATATTAGATTTGTGGATTGATATACAATCTTGGTCTGAAAAGTACAAATAATTATAGATAAACATACAATGTATATATAAAAGCAGGTTTACAAAATATTTGAACCGGTTTGGAATTTCAAATTGGTTTACATCATTAAACAAATTTTTTTTAAAGAAAAATACAAAACTGAAACTAATTTTATTGGTTTAAAAATAGACACACAAAGCAGAATCGTGAAATTAAAGTATTTGAAATTGTGATAAATTCTGAAAACTATCTTTGAGTGATTCTAATAATTTGGAAATATTCAAAATAACAAAATTTGTAATATAGTAACGTGATGTTATTGGCAACGAATATATTATAAATTACCAGTTATTTTCACTCGGTTATACGTACTTTTTCTGAGTTCTTTTGTACTGGAGTTTTAGTTCTGATAAAAAAAATGTAGAGCAAAGGTATTTTAGTATTGTATAATATGTATAAAAATTTGGAAAAAAAAGTATAAATTTTTTTTGTGGTGTTACTTGCAGACTTGTAGTAACTGATTTCATATATAGCACCTTCCCTTCCAGATAATCCAAGCAATATAAGTGCTGCTCTTCCCACAAAGGCTATAGTAGCATGTAGATTTGACATTTCTGATTATGTAAATGTTTTTTTTTTAAATAAAGCCATAAGGTCACCAACATTAATAATATCTCATAGGATTTTTTTTTAAAAAAAAATCATTAAGTAATAGTTAAAAAGAGAGAGAGTGTAAAAAATGGAGTAGACTTTAAAAAAAAGAAGGCTCTCAGGACACCCTGTGAGATTAAGCCTTCCAAAGCTCTTCGAGATATGGTATGTCATATTTGTCAGCAGCAAGATAGAGCGCTCGAGTGTGTTTGCTGGTGGGACTCAAGATCCTGCTAGAGAAGAACTCGAGAAGAGCCTTGAGTTCCTCCTAACTCGAGTCAGGAATAGTGATTGATTTCTCTACTGAAGTTTTGCATTCATCAGAGTCCAACATGTCGCTAAACACTTTCGACTTCACTGCCTATGGGATAAACAACAAAATTCAGTCAAAAGTCTATATAGACGTACTAAGTAAAAGTTGCATATTAGCATTTTATATGCATATGAACTGAAGACTGCACGTGAAGTTGGAGTTTCACATGAATATGATAGAGCAATCAGGATCCAAATTCCATGTCTATTATGCTAACCACATCAATCAAGTTGTCTTTACATATATGCTTATTGGTTTGAAATCACATATCTCATGTGTATTTCATCCATATGAATTTCAGTAGAGTGAAAGTTACCAACTAGTGTCAATATAGCAATGCTTGTAAGCTTACAGGAAACATATAAACAATGAGACAAAACAATATTGTAATTAATACTTGAGTAATAAAAAGTGTATATAGGTTCTTCTACACCCTCAATCTAATTTTGTCAACTATGAACTAAACATCCATAGAAAGTTCAAAATCACTCTCACTTATAACTTTACATTTGCATTGTATATATTTAAATTATTATATCTATATATATACATGAGGGAGATGTTCACAATCACTTATAAAAAAGAGTTCAAAAAATATAACTCTATTCACTACAAAATGAAAACATGACTATTTTCTTACAGAACTTTTTGAGGAAAGAAATTTCCGACGGTTCTCTATGGATTTAAGCATATCTATATAGACCAATTCTCCCATCAATATATACTTATGGAAACGAAATAAGTTTTAGAGACGTTACCAAAATAGCTTTGTGAGAAGGAATTCCAGGCACATCACCACCAGGTTTAACTATAACATCAGTGTGTATTCCATTTTTAAATGCCAAAACATTATCACCGAGAAAATCCACTCAATCCAATTTCCTCTTTCTAGTGTCTATTGCTTCTCTCTGCATGAAAAATAAGAAACATACTTATCATTGTAATACACCGTAGTTTCAGTTCATCCAGCTTCCTCCACCCCGTGAAGCTTCTTCTCCGTCCTCCTCCATCAAGCTTCTCTACTTCCTCCAACTTTCTTTACCAAAACAAAAACGACAAATCGATATCAAAACTCAGAGAATACAATACATTGATAAGAAAAACATAGAATTTTTGTAAAAGTAAAAAAATTTGATGCATTTCTTTCCCTCCAATGAAGAGGCTTTAGCTTGACCTGACCGTTTTTGGAGCTTGAGCCTTCCCCTGAAGATGACCCTTTCGGAGCCGGCAGTGATTTTGAACCTGACGTCTTCTTTAACGGTGGAGGTGGAGGTGGAGAAGGACCGATAGGCTAGAGTGAGGAGGTGGAGAGGTGGAGGAGGTGCTGGTGCGGTTTTTTTAACCGGAGGCTGCAGCAGAGGAGGTGGTGGCGTATCCGGTTTAGCAAACTTGTAAGAATCTGATTTAATCGGATGATTATCATTGTGAACTACACTGTGAGAAGCGGAGGATCTACCTCTGAGAAGCGGCATCTTTGTAACGGGTTCAAACTTCTTGTTCTTTGAATAAATCACATTCTTCTCTTCGTCGTTCGCCGTGAACGATCACTTTCCTAAAGCTTCCACTTTTGTTGTTTCTCTGTCTCTGCGTATTTCTCCAATATAACACATCGAGAGAATTCTCATCCACAATCAATCCTTTGACGTTTCCTCCGAATCTTGTGAACCCCTCGCGAGCTAATGCCGCCTCTGCAAGTGAGGGAACAGGAGGAAGGGTGTTCACGACGTTGAATCTGTCTCTCCGTTGCGCCGCACGGTGTAGAGATGGACAAAGAAGAAGTGAACGTCTGCTAAGAGTAAAGTTCTTGCCGCCGTTATGAGTATAGCCCTCGTGATCTTTTCTCTGTCCGAGGATGATGATTGTGGGTTTTGCTGCTGGAGACGAACCGGAGAGGGAGAAGGAGTGGTGAGGGTGTCAATGTTTTGTGGAGAATCAGATTGAGAAAAGGAATTGTAAGGGAAGAGAAGAAGAATCAAGGAGAAGAAAATTAGGTTAGATCAGGAGGGAGAGGAAGAAGCGGTGGCCGTGGTTAAATGAAACGCAGAAGCCTAATCCAGATTTGGCCTACATGGCCTTTCCAGGCTGGCATCCAACGTGGACACTCTCAGGAGGAGAGATGCTCTCTTTTATATAATAGATACTTTGCTATAAAAACTTGCATGTTAATATATCTTCTAATTAATATATTTTTTTGTTAGACCTAAAATCAAACTATTGACTTATATTATTTTGTATGATTATCCCTATGTTTTGTTAGATAAGTAAACTCCAATTAGAGGTGAGGTCTTTGAATTACTGCATCAGTGGTTAAGAAGGTATTGGGTAACTAGATGATGAGAGTTCGAGGACTTAACTGCATATCTGAATTACTGGGTTCAATTCTCACTGGAAGTTAGCGTAACCAGTGGAATGATTTTTTGTCAAAATCTATGTCCAATGTATGAGATTTGCAAGGCAAACTGGATCCCAAGGGAAGAAGGCGAACTCTTTATTCAGAAACGCCTCAAACTACTTCGTTCTCTAGTTATGAGGAAGCGGATCAACTTTAATGAACTTGTGCTGGCTCAGATCCAAAACTTAACTACGAAGACATACGATATGTCAGACATTCCCTTTCCAAACCTTATTCATCAGATTTTGTAGTATCAGAAGAATATTCGTCACATGCTTGATGATGATCATGTTTTGGGTGAGCCACAGATGCTCGGACAAGACTCAACTGGTGAAATTTTTTTGTCTGATGAGTCACACATTCCGGGGGAGATGAAAATTTAGGCGTTTCGTAGTGTTTCAGGTGTTTTGTCGCGTTTTGGGCATTTTGTAGCGTTTCAGGCTGAACATCCTTGTTTGTTTCATGTTCTGAATATTGTTGCTTGTGTCTTATGTGTAATCTTGAACTTATTATGTCATTGGAGTTATAAAGGTTGAACTGAAGCAGACTGAGTGACTTTTTGACACGTTGAACTAATAATGAGGGCAGCTGTTGCTGCAAATTGTGTGTGGTTGAGTTTTTGCAGGCTTAGGAATGAGGTAACTCGTGTACACAAAATAGGGGAGATTATAGACTCAAGAGTTTAAGTTGGATTGGAACCGGTTGAGATTGGTTTGGTTGAGACTATTGATGGTCGAGAAGGTTCTCGTTTAGTAACTTGAAGGATATGATATCGTGATCAAAGTTGTTATGAGGAGTAGAGATATATGGAAAGAAGATCTTGAAGAATTTTCAGAGGTGGTGATATATAAGGATGTGGTGACCTAAGTAAGCGGCTGCGCCTTTACAGAGAGAAAGATCGAAAAAGGTTTATTGAGCAAAAAAATTACAACAAGGGAACTGTATGAGCGGTAACTAGAGTTGTGGTTCTCATGTTTTGGATAGTTAATAATTGGCTAGTCTTGATACACGTGTGTGTAGTCATAGAAATCTGATTAAACAATAGTGTTGAGATTGTTTAAACGATTCTTAATAAATGTATTGTTGAAAGAAGTTCATTGTGCTCAAGTTTCTTGTATTGTCTCTGTTCTCGATATTTCATACACTTGTAAAAGAAGGTGTATTTAATTTAAAATCTTACAAAACAAAAAATTAGGTCCAAAGGAATGTTTCGGTTTTTAATGAGATATATGTCTACATCTTAGAAACAGTGGAAAAATGAAGTTGTTATATATTTCCTACATCAGAGCTCTTTTACTGTAATAATGTTTTACTTATTTACATATAAATGTCAAGAACATGGTAAGCAATTAGATGTAGATTAGATTAGCAACACTTGAGATATATATTATATATGGAGTTGGTTTGGGAATATTCATTGAAATATTTTGGCGTTATATAATTAATTCAAAATTGTACTTTAAGAACCATTAGCTCAATCGTAATAATATATGTTGTGAGATCATCTTTTGACTGAATTGTAACATATTTGGGAAAGATGACATATCCATTTTGATGTGGAATTTATGTTTTATCATATGAAACTAAAATAATTGGCTAGTATTAATTTTGTTGTTTTTTGACATCGAACACCATGCTTTATTAATTCAAGACGAAAAGGTTAGCTTGTGAGGCTAACCACGTCGGAATCGACGAGTTTACATGGGAAAGGATAGAATTTTGAAGACGAGCTCCTTTGGCAAGGAGGTCGGCTCTTACATTACGATTACAAGCTATAAAAGCGATAGAAAAAAACATTAAACTCAGATACCAAAAAGGTGAATTCATTCCATTTCGAAGCCAAACTTGGCCAATCTTCTTCTTCATTTATCAGCTTTACAAGCTGAAGGCAGTCCGGTTCAAAGGACATTGATGTATAGCCTAGCTGCAGGGAATTCCTCATTGCTCGAAGCAAAATGTTGAACTCTGCGTGAAGGGGGGATGGTACTTGCTTCATCCCAATAGAACCTCAGAAGTGTTTCCCTGGTTCAAAATCAAAAACAAAACCACCACCAAAAACGTTTGAATTAGTCACCCAGGATGCATCCACTTGGAATCGAGGGAATGGTGGTTCATTCAAACCGTTTTCATTGACAACTGCCGCAGGTTTTTTGTGTAGTAACTGTATTTGTGCAACTCGCCATTCTTTATCTTCACGAGATGCATGCTCAACCGTAGCCGGAGGGAGGATGTCCTTCCCATTTGAAACTTTTTCATTACGTGACTTCCAGAACAACCAAAGAATCCAGGGAAAGCGTGCCATTGCACTGGTAGGAGCTCCCATATTCTTAGCTCTGAGTAGTAAATAATCAAAATTTTCCACCAGTGAGTTGCTCGGGAATACACCCGGACCTGATGGTATGTCTGAGAGGTTCCAGGTCTGGAGTGCGGGTGGACAAAGAATAAGAAATGGTTGGTCGTTTCCTCTTCGAGTCCACATCTTGGGCAAGTGTGATCTGTCCCGCAACGTCTTTCTACCAGCCGGCTACAAGTCGCTATACACTCTGATAAAGATTGCCAAAGAAAGTTTTTAATTTTATGAGTTGTTTTCAGCTTCCAAGTCATGGATTTGAGGAGATTCGTGCTTGGTTCCGTCACATATTGCACGCACTTGTCTTCTTTTATTTTTGAGGCTATATCGTATCCGGATTTGATGGTATACTGGTCAGATTTCGTATGGATCCAACAGTAGACATCTTCCTTTCCAACATAGCTGGAACCTATGCTCCATATTAACGGGATGTATCATGGGTCTACAACCGCCTCAAGGATATCTGTTCTCCATTGTTTCGATTCTCATCAATGAGGTGACTAACTTGAAGGTCTTGATCCCGATATACACCCGTGTCTAATTCTGCTCTCGCCGGGAGCGTTGGGATCCATGGGTCAAGCCACACCCGTGTGCTGCAGCCTGATCCTATCGTCTTCCTCAAGCCGTCTCGGAGAAGGTCTTGTGCAGCAAGGATGCTCCTCCAGCCGTATGATGGGGAGTTTGATGATTTAACCTCCATAGGGCTAGTATGTCTGAAGTATCTTCCCTTTAGTACCCGAGCCAGAAGAGAGTTAGGGTGGTGCAGGAGCCGCCAGAGTTGCTTGGCAAGTAAGGCCAAATTAAAGCCATGGAGATCTCTGAAGCCTAAACCACCTTTCTCGAACGAAAAAAAAAATTTCTCCCAAGCTATCGAGTGGAGTCCCCGGTTGTTTGCTTTCGTACTCCACCAGAATTTTGCTATTGCACTTTGGAGCTTGTTGATAATATCCTTTCGTAGGAGAAAGCGTGACATAACATAAGTAGGCAAGGCTTGGGCTACTGATTGTAATAAAACTTCTTTACCTCCTTTAGAGAGAAGTCTCGCCGACCAGGAGTTGATCCGGTCATTAAGGCGATCTCTAATAAAAGCAAATACTTGTCTTTTGGACCCACAAATATTCTCAGGTAGTCCTAGATACATATTCCCATGCCACCTTCCTTATGGATACCCATTTGTTGTTTGATTGCGCGCTTTGTATCCTGGTCTACTCTACTGCCACACTGGATAGATGATTTTCCGGGGTTTAATTCTTGCCCCGAGGCCTTCCCATACAGGTTAATAATCCTCATTAACTCAGCACATTGCTGGACATCGACTTTACAGAAGAACAGGCTGTCATCTGCAAAGAGGAGATGTGAAACCGCTGGACTCACCATAGCTATTTTTAAACCTGTTATCCTTCCCTCCTCCTCTGCGCCTTTTAATTAAGAGGTAAGAGCTTCCGTCATAAGGATAAAGAGGAAAGGTGACATTGGATCTCCCAGACGTCACCCTCGGGACGGTTGAATATTTCCTTTTGGTTAACCATTTAACAGAATTTGATAGGAGACTGATGAGACGCACCATCGGATCCAGGATACCCATGTCTCGGAAAAGCCCATCTTTAACATAAGTGCTTCGAGAAAGTTCCATTAGACTCTATCATAGGCTTTACTCATATCCGTTTTGATTGCCACAAACTTTGCTTTACATATTGGGTTAGTGCGCAGGGCATGAAAATCTTCTTGTGCCAGCAAGATATTGATATGAGTCGTTTCGCCACAAAGGCGGACTTCGTCTCCGAGATAAGTTTTGGGAGAAGTGTTTAGGCGAGTACATAAGAGTTTTGAGATGATCTTATAGCTCACATTGCAGAGACTTATAGGACGAAACTCCGCCATGTCCCGCGGACGTTCTGTCTTGGGAATTAGGCAAATATTTGTTTGGTTTAGCAGTGGGTCAAAAGAACTCGTCACAAAGAAGTTCTTAACTGTTGGTAAAATATCTTTTGCTGTGACCTCCCAGAATCGGTGATAGAAAAGGCTCGTCATACCGTCAGGACATGGTGCCTTGTCTGGATTGATGTTGTCTATTGCTTTCTTAATTTCTCCATCAGATGGTATCCGAGTTAGATCCTCATTCATGGCTGGGGTGACTTTCACGGTAATATACCGGAGGGCTTCCTCAGAGTCTCCCGTTTCCGAGGAGGTAAAGAATATTTTGGAAATAGTCAGCCGCAACTTTCTCAATACTTTCATCACTCTCTGCCCATCCACCGCC